CAGCACAGCCCTAGTTCAAACAGAACCAGTCACAGACACATCGTCAATGGGGCATCCACAACAGCCACTGAATTGTAATCCATGGTAAACCGAGGATCTCCAAAGATCATCAAAGTGCTCTAATTCGCAGTGAATACACAAGTGTCCCACTGAGGGTACGTCTTCACTACCCGCCATATGGGCGGGTAGCAATCAATTTATCCGGGATCGATATATCGCGTCTCGTATATCGCGATATATCGATCCCCGAACGCGCTCACTGTCGACTCCGGAACCCCACCAGAGTGAGCGGTGGTAGCGCAGTCGACGGGGGAGCCGTGGCCGTCGATCCCGCACCGTCTGGACCCCAGGTAATTCGATCCAAGATACTTCGACTTCAGCTACGCTATTCGCGTAACTGAAGTTGCGTATCTTGGATTGATCCCCCCCCCCAGTGTAGACCAGCCCAAAGTCTCTGTTCGGTTAGGGCACCTATTAATTAACCATCAGGTAATGAGAGTTCATGTTCAATGACAATCTTCACTAAGCGTCTTCACAGCTTTATGAATTATGGGCTTAATCCAAAACCCACTGGAGTCAGTGGAAAGACTCCCATAGACTTCAATGAGTTTTGCATCAGGCCCTTAAGGTTTTAGCTCCAGCATTCTTTCACAGCTGGTGTGTAAGTCGGACAATGAATGAGCAACCGTAATTTGAAGTGATTTTTTGTTTGTCCGGGACATGAAATAGTGTATCTAGAACAATATACATGGAAACACTCATCAGAAAGTCCCATCTGGTACGTGCTTTGGGGACTCAGATTGAAGCAATGGTGATGGGGGTTAGGACAGCAATATATGGTATCAGTTCCAGAAATTATGAAGGCAGCTTTCCATAAGTGGCTAATAGCAGAGCCCTTGTGAAAGAAATCAGTCTGGACTCTACTGCAATACCCTGCCTGCCTGCTGGCAATACGTCTGAATCAAGCAGAAGCAGCCGTTTTGCAAAGAAACAAACCCTCGACCAAGCATAGTTTGTAAAGTAAACGACATCCATGAATATTTTCATGGCAAGGAGAATAACACACTTAAAGGGAGGTAAACGAATCTGAAAACTGCTGTAAAAATGGCTAGGAGATATTAACTGTTTACATACAAGGTCACATATAACATTCCTGGTCCCCTCTCCATAGAGCACCTTCTGTTATTCCATTCATAATACCATCAGTGTTGCAACTTTACCTCATAAGTCACTATCACCAGGTTACAGAGACCAACACCACACAAGAGTAACAGGAAATGCCCTTGTATCTAAAACGCAGCACATTTATATGAATGGGTCATTTGCATGTTCACTCAGGAAGGACATTCCCTGGCTGGGCTGCTGAGCGTTCATAAATGGCCCCGTTTGCACTGCCTGGTGAGCTGTTTAGCATTCCCCACGGAGACCTGTCAAGATGCTCTCCCAGACCCAGCTTCTCTGGATACTAGTGCTTTGGATTCAGGGTGAGCATTATATCAACAGGGAACAGACTTCATAGGCAATAAAATACTAGCTAAGCTTAAAATAATATTGCAGTACTTATTTTGAAATCTAGTGTTTAATAAATTCTTAAATGAAAAACGCATTTAAATACCGAGCTTTAATTACTTTAATAACATGCCATGATTGCATTAATTTTCTTTCCATATCCAGAGTCCTGTGGCCAAACTGTTTTGACTCAGACTCCAGAATCCCTGTCAGTGTCTCCTGGAGAGAGAGTCACCATCAACTGCAAAGCCAGTACCAGCATTAGCAACAACTTAGACTGGTACCAACAGAAACCAGGACAAGCACCTAAGCTCCTTATCTATGATTCCACCAACCGTTACTCTGGAATCCCAGCCCGATTCAGCGGCAGTGGGTCTGGGGCTGATTTCACTCTCACAATCAGCAGCGTTGAAGTGCAAGACGCTGGAGATTATTACTGTCAGCAACGCAACAGCTACCCTATCACGGTGATACAGACCATTACAAAAACCTCCCTGTGCACAGAGCACGCAGGTGCTTGTTTGTCACAGCTGTGACCAAAATGGTGAATTTTATCATTTAATGCAAATGAAAAAGAGGAAGTAGCTCAAAATACACCTGACATTTTATACAGCACCAAACATCCCCAAACCGTCAAAGAAACAAATACCAGGATCAGATCACCTTCCGCTGAAGCTCAGCTCCACTGTGGTAGCAGGAGCAATACTGGATCCCAAGATTATTGTATTCCATTAGAACTACAGGAAGTATTTGATAGGTCTCTTCTTCCACAATACACGTGCTAATATTCATCCCTATTATTGCAAAACTTGCCGTGGGGTCTAGTCTGGGGTCTCATCCAAATGACTGCTCTCTGCAGTGCACTTCACCTAATGCCACAGGAGATCATGGGTTCAGTACAGGCTGAGAGGGAGGAGGGACTCCTACTAAACCATCAACACCCCTTCCTGTAGCAACTCCATTTTTCTCAGCAATCTCCCATCCAAGTATTTACCAGACCCATCTCTGCTGCCTATGGCAGTAGATGGTATCTGAACCTGTATGGCTGCAGGTGGAGGAATATTAACATTATTTGTATCGTCTCTCAAGAGCATAAAAGGTGTTATAGGTAGAATATTCCCCACTCTCCATTTTTTTTTCTTCTCCATCCCTGCCAGGGGTTAAGTATCCCTCTGAGTCTACCTCTCTTTAGTCTCCTCTCCGGAGGTCCCGTGTGTCAGAGACAGAACAGACTTCAGTTATATCACAAACCACACCAACTAACTGCTTCCCATCCTTTCTTCAACCCACGTGACTTTATTCTGTCTAAACACAGTCAGAGTAGAACTTTAAACTCTCCATTGGTTTCAATGAGCCCTTTGGATCATTCTGTATGGAAGGCTTCTCAGAAATAATTAGAATTAAATGAAAGTAAATCAAAGCATCAAGGTGACTTTCAATGGCTATCGACAGATGAAGAATACCAGAAGACGTGCCTCCTTATCATATGGTTCTAAAATCAATAACTGAACATGTCACCATGATGATGAGGGCACACATGGCAAATCGCACGTTTAAACTAGGTGCAGCAAAGCACGTTTCCTTCCATGCCAGGCTTTGCAGAAAGACACACCAATGGGAACACCGAGGGATTCACTGTCATGGTTTGTGGAAGAAAAAAAGGGGGCAGGAAAGCTGAATGTTTGCAGGGCTCTAATGACAGCAGGTGAAAATAAAATCATTCTACCTTCTCATTAGTTGTTCCATGTGTTCAAATCCACTGCTCCCCGGGTGACCCAGGGAGAGAAACTGCAGAAGTACATGCTTAAAACTGAGCAAGAAGGGTCAAATGTGACCTTAACTCATTTCCAAAACAACTCTAGTCCCTGCAACTCATCCCGGTTACACTTTGATGTCACTGAAGCCCCAATCCGGGTAGGGGAGTATTTGAATCACAAAGATCTTACAACTAATTATAACCAGAGCGGGGCCCAAGTTGAGAAGTTCAGAACAGGATCTGGATCCTCTAAGCAGTAGAGGGTATC